CAGTAATTATTGTATATCAACTTTGCGATTGTTGTAAAAATTCATATATAAATCACAAATTTTTGAATCTTTCTCGAAAAGAAAGTAACAATCTAGAAGCTGAATAAATTGCTTTGTGAACAAGAGCAGATATAAGGGATTGTTAGGATATTCACCCGAATCCGCTCCGCATAACATGGAATATAAGAATATAACATTGTAATCTTTGTCACCTATGAAGAAAAAGAATAAATGGAATTTGATTTCTCACATTGTAACTCCCTCCCCCATTTAAAAAAAAAAGTTAGTCTTCCTCAATCCCCTCTATTTTGTAGAGAATATAATCGAATAATAAAAAAGTGTACTTTCTCTCTAATAGCTTAAGCTTTGTGATGAGATGATTACACACTTCAATATGGTATCAGAGCAGACAGAGGTCATGTAATTGAATCTCACTGCCATCCGAATCAAAAAGAATTTTCACGTGCTTGACCCATAAAAAAGAATCGAACCCGCTTTTAGATGAGATGGTTACACACTTCAACATATTTAACTATTATTGTATATAGTTATTTACTCTATCCATTAGAATTGTTTGTCTTAGCTTTGATTTTTAATCTATTTCAAAATAAACGTCTCTTTTCGTTTTTGACAATTATGAAAGTTTAACTTTCTACGTGACATGTTTAATTAAGACCACTAGATTAAAGGATATTTTGGTACATTCTACAAACCTTTAATTTAAAACCACAAGGTTCAAAAGTTTTCTTTACTTAATTTCTTAAACGCTATAGGTCAAATCAAAATTAGATAAATAAAATAATTTATTGTTATGATACATTAGTAAAATCTAAATTAGTCATTAATCTTTCTCTGTTTGTGGGGGCGGAGAACTAAAAGTTTTAAAATCATGATGATCTGACATGAATTATAAGTAATCTAATAGGTTAACTAGATTGAATATAACATAAAGACATATAGATGTTATCATAATTTGCATGCATTTCTTAAAAATGTATTTCTAAGTATATATAACACACATATATATATATATTCATATCAAGGAAACACAAGGAGGCCGTACATTTGTCAACACATATTAATTATAAGATGTGCTATCATTTTACTGAGGAGAATGACACAAATTTCTCCTTATTATTCATAGCACTATATATTAATTATAATATAGTATCATCAATTGAAATTGAGTTGATACTTTGGCCTCTGATCAGGATAAAAGAGTCTAAAATGTTGCTCGCTTATTTTTCCATCCTTTTGATTTTCATCAAACATGGCGAATAAATAAGTTTCTATCGTACTTCCAGGTTTCTTTGGTGTTCCAACCCCTCCTTTCACATGATTAATCAAATTTGTATAATAAGTTTGTGCATTTTCCATAGTTGCAATGGCGGAGCCAAGATTTTCGCCAAGGGTGTTCATACTTTAGGACAAGTAAAAAAATAAACCTTGCTAGTCAGATTATAAAGATTAGCTTCAAAATAGTCATACCTCAATATCAAATTAACCAACTATCCAAAATGAAAATTCTTAAAACAGAAACTTACAAAATATCAATGAATAAACTAAGGAAGATGAAGTAGGACAAATATATTGACGGATAGTTTCATATACACCAAAATATGTAAATTGTAAAGTGGTAACTACAATTGCACTCGACGACACTTCATCTCTTGAAATGTTTTCATAATACACTCATTAGAAACATCTTTAAATGCTTTTTTCTCTACATAAGACACTATGCAACCATCTAAGAATTCATCATCCATTCGATTTCGCAAGTCATTCTTGATAATCTTCATTGCCGAAAAAGCTCTTTCAACTGTAGCAGTGGCAACAGGTAGAAGCAAAGCAAACTTCATTAAAAGAAATATGAGAGAATAGGTTAAATGGTTCTTTGTCTCAACCAACTTTCTTGAAAGTTCTCCAAGTCCACCCAAATTGGAGAACCTTTCATCAATATCACGAACATCAATAATGTAATTAACAAGTTGATTCTCAAGAGCTCTCATGTTGGACCCATCAAAATCATCAGGATAAAATTCAGCCATTCTCATTATCTTCTTTATGTCAAAACTAGAAAATGAATCAATTGGATTCAAGCAAGATACTCCATTAAGCAAATCACTTGTCACCTCATTGAAACGATCATTAAGTTCTTGTAGTTGTCAATCAATGATTTTATAAAACACATCCACACGATAATGATGCAAAGTAGTACAAATAACTACTTTACGTCGTGATCTCCCAGAATTAGCATATGGATCATCAAAATTGGGTAATGAAATGCCATGCTTGATACAAAATGCTTCTACCTTTTCTTTAAGTGAATCCCATCCAATATTTTTTTAAAGAGAAGATCCTATTCATTATCTCTTAAAGCTTGCAACCTTCTCTTTGCTACCTTTACAAAAATCATGGCATTTGCAATGTCTTGCTCCTTTTTCTGTAATGAAACATTAAGATCATTTGTGATTCCTAAAACATCTGTCATCAAATGCAACAAGAAAATAGTCTCAAACGTTTGACAACTTCTGAGAAATCCCGATGTGCTTGCTCTTTCTTCCAAAGTACTTGCATTTTCAACAAGAGTATATATCAAGTACATCAACAATAGAGTCAAAACTACTAATAAAGTTTCCAAATGACTTGTAGTGAGATCCCCAACGAGTATCACCGGCTTTAACAAGACCAAGTTCTTGATTCAACCCTCTACCCGTTTCTAGTTCACCCATATCCAATGCCATTTGGAGATGCTTTTTTTGAGATTCTCAAAAATTATCCACACGTTTAAAAGAAGCTCCCAACACATTCAAAATATTTGAAATTAATAATACAAGTTCACCTACTTGAACACACTTTTTAGAAACCACAACAAGAATCAATTGAAGTTGATGAGCAAAACAATGAACATAATGAGCCGATCTACTTTCTTGTCTAATCAACGTTTTAAGACCACCTAGCTCACCTTGCATATTACTAGCCCCATCGTAACATTGCCCACGTACATTAGATAAAGTCAAAGAATGGTGAGCAAGTACATCTACAATTGCTTTCTTTAGAGATAAAGCACTAGTATCTTTAATGTGAACAAGTCCAATAAATGCCTCCATCACAAACCCCATTTTGTCAACATATCTTAGACAAATAGCCATTTGCTCTTTGCGTGACACATCTCTAGATTCATCAACCAATAAAGCAAAGTAGTCACTATTTATATCCTCTATTATTGCCTTAACTGTTTCAATCTTACATGCAGTCACAATATCTTTTTGGATGTCATGAGAAGTCATTTTATTATTTTTTGGAGCTTTTTCTAACACAAAAGGTTTAATTGCATCACATCTAGCAGCTAACCAAGAAAGAACTTCAAGAAAATTACCCTTGTTCAATGACGATTCACTCTTGTCATGACCACGAAATGCAAAACCTTGATCCAAAAGAAGTCTTACCACATCGATTGAAGTGTTTAATCGAATCCGATATTCATGCTTACGTTTATCATCCAACTTGTAAAATGCGGCTTGAATGGATTGTTGTTCTCGTATTTGATCTTCACACTTTCTTTTGGATTGATTATGAACGCTATTCGGTGGACCAATATGTGTAGCAAAGCTATCTTTTCTATGCCAATTTGTAAATCCCTTAGTCGAAAATACATTACCACCACCTTGATTAATGTTTTCTCCTTGAAACAAATAACAAGGTAAACAATAAGCAGCATCCGCACTAATACTGTATTCCAACCAATCATGATATTCATCAAACCACGTATAAACAAAACGACGTGGTGTTCCAAAAAGATTAGTTTGAGGAAACTGATGATTTTGAGGTTGACAAGGACCTTTAATGATATATGCCCTCTTTATCTCATCATGAAGGTTTGGATGATAATTCAAAATTGGAGTTCTTTCAGCCGGATCAGCCTTTAAATCATTTACATCAAATTCTTGTCTTTGGGAAGAGTGAGATGATATTTCTATTTGGTTGACATTTTCATCTCGGTGTAGTTGATTTTGATTTTGAGGCGCCAAACTTGTTTTGGGTACTCTAAAAAAATATTTCTCCAAACTCATTGAACACCAAACTGAAATAGTAGTCAAGTTCAAGTATACCAAACATATTAAAAATCATCCACAATACACCAAATAGTTGATCGATACTCAAATAAATAAAGTAGCTTTTAACATAAAAATTAAGATATTCAAGTCTTTCAACACATGATTAGAAAAAACTAAACTAAAGGAAAAAAAGAATTGAGAAATACCTTTTCACACTTCAATGGCGGTTGAGGAAGAAATATACAATGATTAAAGCTTCCAATTTTTTAAAACTTGCAAATATGTATGAAAGTTGAGAAGAGAGAAAGGTAAAGAGTAAAGTTGTAAGGGTTTTTGGGAGAAGAAGAAGTCAAAAAACTAAAAGGAAAAGACAACTATGAATCTATTTTTTTTAAAATTAAGAAAAGTAAAAATAGACCTTTTATTTCCTTTTGTTTTTCTTAACTTAAAAAAGGTAACTTTTGTACTTTTTCTTAAGAGAAAAACGGAACAAATATTAAATAAATGAAATGTTCAAGCCTGGGATCGAACCCAGACTGAGTTTTGCCTTTTCTAAGAGAACAAATGGAACAATGAAAAAATTTAAAGAAAACGCCAACACTTGGGCTCAAACCCGGAACGCTGAGGCATCTTTGCAATACCTTAACCGCTAGGCTGTCAACCTTTATTGTGTCAAGGTTGTTCAATAGTTAGTACATATCCAAAAAAACTCGATATTTAGTATACATACACGTAAAAAATTTCCAACGAAGGTTGTTCATCTGACCACCCTCGCCATGTCATAGCTCCGCCCCTGCATAGTTGCTGCAGGATGTCCCTCAGAAGGCCAACCACTTTCCGATACAATGATCTCAATATTCTGTCCTCCAAGTTTCTCCGTAGCAAAATACATTGAATCCAAAAGGGCATCAAAAAGATTTTGATATCCCGCAGAATTAGTCCCTTGGTCGTTGAAAAGTGCATAAGAAAGAGGAACGTCGTTAGTGTTATCAATATGGCCAAAATAAGGGTAAATATTGGCTAAGAGCGGGAGGTTATTTCGTGCTAGAAATTCGATTATGGGATTAATGAAGCTTTTGTATTCTTCGCGAAAAATACTAGCACTTGGTGGGTAGGTGTTTGTAAAGAGCCCTGAATATGTCGAGGTTGAGACCTTAATTTGATCATGCAATCCTGTTGATGTTAACGCGTTGTAAACATTTTTCATTGCTGGACCAACAAATTGTGCATATTGACCGGTATTTGTACCGGGGTCAACTTCATTTCCAACGGCTATATATTTGAATTTAACATCTGGGAAATTACTTATTATATTATCTTGAACCCAACCATTGGCACTTGAAGGATTGGCTAGGGCTTCAAGATCTTGATTTGGGACATCAAGAATTATTTCAATGTCACTTCCTTTGAGAGCATTGAAGACATTTGTGTCTGGATAGTAAATTCTCATCTTTTTAATGCCATTAGAATTGTATAGGTTTTTGACATCTTGATCTGATGGCAAATTGTTGGCAATTTTTCCATAGCATACTCCAATAGGTTGTGCTCCTACATTATAATGATAAATACTTATAGTTTGGACTATAATTATAAATAGTATTGTTTATCTATTCACAATTCATAACAACAATTTTAGAGAGAGGAAAGAGGAGAGCGGGACAAAGAGAGATTGAAAAGAGAGTCGAGCGAGATCAAGAGAGATAGAGGAGAGAGGCAAGCATGTTGTATCTTAGAAACAACTTGTATATCTTAATTGAAACTAAGATACACATATACACAATCTCTTCTCTTTCTCTCTCTCTCTTTCCCAAATCTCGCTGTCATTTCTCCTCTCTCAATCTTGCACACAGCTACACAAATGCACATATTAGTTTTGAAATTGAAATATAGATAGACATATACATATTATATCACCCTTAAAATAAATACACAGATATAATATGTATCAATTTATTGTGATATACAAATGAAAAAAATATTGATACAAAGTTTGAATATCATCCCTAAAATATATAAATACAATATTTTTTTATAATAGTTGTATTCGTTTTTTATATGTACAAAAGTCTAGTCAAATAATAGCTATATCAATTTTTATATTGTTTTCTAATACGTAGATCAATTGGATGTATCTATTAAAGAAGATACATGCTGATAATAATTGTTTCATTTTTCCTGATACATACACATATATATATATATATATATATATATATATATATATATAGAATCTGTTGTACCAATCGAAGAAGATACACTTTGAAAATAACTGTATCATTTTTTCTCATACATATATAAAATTGGTTGTATCAATCTAAGAAGAATAAGAGATTCAAACATAGAACAACAAATCAAGAACCCCTATGAGAATTTTTGATATACCAGCGTTAATCCAATAAAAATGAATCAACAATTAGCAGTCACATTGAAAATATTGAAGATCAAGAAGCACATGTAGATAAAAATTAATAATTTAGGTAAAGCTTAATTGAGTTTTGTATTGATAAATAAGAAGCATATAAGGATAAGAAGAAAGATTCATGCAATGAATTGTAGAGAGGCAGAGAGAGAGGGCGAAAAAAAATGTGAGAGGAGAGGAAGAGGGAGGAGAGTGGCGAGCAAAAGAGGAAAAGAGAGAAGAGATTAGTTATAAAATTTTAAGTATAACTATGTTAGATAAAAAAAAAAAAAAAACTAAAATACCGCTTAATTAAGTATATACAGTAATTATGTTTGCTTAGTTAGGTAGATTTACCCTCCTAATTTTGAAAAATATGAAGTGTTTTTTCATAGAATTTTTAACTCATTTACATCAACATCGGAAGAATTGTTATACTATCAGGTCACCTAGAATTAAATACCCTTAACTATTTACAGTAACTGAGATCAATAACTTAGTAAATAAAATAGATTATCTGCTACGATATTATAATATGTTACTCTTAATATATAGTGTAAAAATACATTATTAGTTTGTATGTAAAAGAGAGACCTGACATTTGGATTAACAGCCCAACAAGTAAAAGGGCAGCTACAAGAAAACTTAGAAAAGACATAGCAAAATTGGAATTGAGAAGACTAAGAAATATTTGAGGTAAAATTGTGTGTCAAGGAAACATCAAATTACTTCTTACATAGACAAAAAGAAGAAAAGCAGTGTGGAAAAAAAAAAACTAAGTCAAGTTTACCCTAAGAAGAAGTTCAATTGATAGTGAAATTTAGTCATATAAACGTATCTAATGGGGGATGAAGAAATTTCTAATCTAGAGTAGGTGATGGGAAAAAAATGAGAACAAAAAGGTTGATTTTAAACTATACTCAAAGTTTAAGGGTAAACTTGTACTTTTTCTTCTCAAAGAAAATGGACATGTGAAGTCTACTCATTTAATTGTTAGAAATTTATTTTTTTGTGAACCCAATAGTTATTGTATATGGAATTTGTGGTTGTTGTAATTAGGGGTGTGTATGACTAGGTTGGTTCGGGTTTTTCAAATATCAAATCAAGTCATTTGTGTAAAATATTTTAAATTTATAAACCAAACCAAGCTAATAAAATTTGGGTTTTTTTTTCGAATTTTTCAACCTCGTATTGGTTTGGGTTTTTCAAATACCAAACTAAACCATTGTGTCGAATTTTTAAATAAAACCAAACTAATAAACCTCGGATTTGTTCAGGTTTTTGGATTTTTTCGATAAAGTATGCATACAAACATATAATTAACTTGTGCTACAAATATTTCTTTAGTCCAACCAAAATACAACTATTTAAGGTGTTTCTGAAGAAAATAACACAAAATATGAGATGAGTGATGACACTAAAATATTCAATAAAAAATAATAATGAAATCATCATATAAAATAAATATTGCAAAGTCATAATGAAAATGATCATAATTTAAAAGTACTAAATCATGCTAAAATAAGTCTAATACGTATTAGTTACATGATTAAACATTAAAGAAAATTAAAATTAGATTATGTATTTTAAATAACATTTGTTGGACCATTCAAAATTTTAGAAAGGAAAATAAAACGAGATTAAATAAAAGATTCAAATTTCTAACCTCACTTAGAGAGGTGCACCCAATCATAATCGCACGGTATGATACTTCAACTATGGGTTTACATATCTATATTTAAATATTCTTTTAAAAAAAATATAATACTACTACATATGATTTAAGGAGGGGAGCATGGGTTCACGTGAACCTGGTGACCCCCTCCTTGATACGCCTCTGACCTTCGACATAAACTTGGCATGGTCAGGTACTTGTTGGGTGTTTCTTTTCTTTTTTTGGCAACTCTTTAATTTTAACTTTCCATATAACATGTTTAAGATCACAAGATTAAAGGACAGGTTGGTATCTACATACCTTTAATTCACAAAATTCAAAACTTTTCTTTACTTTCTTAAACTTCATATCAAATCAAAATCAGATAGAACAAATTGAAACGGAGAGTGTTGGAAAATATATACCAAGAACACAAAATTTTTATGAACACAAAGATGAAATTTTGAAAATATTAACAAGATCTTTTTGGAGAATAAAAGAATTCTTTGAGGAATATTGTAGAGAAAGATACTCTGTAAAAGTTACGTTGCAATCTTCAGAAATTGGATTTAAAATAACCAAAGAATGAAAGGACACATCCTTTCAATTAAAATACATATCTTATTAAAAATACTTAATATTAATTTTTGATATCAAGGAACACACAAGAGGCCATACATTTTCTCACTACATATTAATTAAATATATATACTATCATTTATTGAAAGATAAAAACATACCATTTCTCCTTATTATTCATATATAATATAAAATATCTATACATTAATTATAATATATGCTATCATTAATTAAAATTGAGTTGATACTTTGGCCTCTGATCAGGATTAAAGAGTCCAAAATGTTTCTCACTTGCTTCTCCCTTCTTTTCATTTTCATCAAACATGGCGAATAAATAAGTTTCTATGGTCTTTCCAGGTTTTTTTGGTGTTCCATCCCCTCTTTTCACATGATTAATCAAATTCGTATAATAAGTCCTCGCATTTTTCAAAGTTGCTGCAGGGTGTCCCTCAGAAGGCCAACCACTTTCCGATACAATAATTTCAATATTTTGTCCTCCAAGTTTCTCCGTAGCAAAATACATTGAATCCACAAGGGCATCGAAAAGATTTTCATATCCTGCATCATTTCTCCTTTGTTGATTGAAAAGAGCATAAGAAAGAGGAACGGCGTTAGTGTTACCAATATGGGCAAAATAAGGGTAAACATTGGCTAAGAGTGGAAGATTATGTCGTGCTAGAAATCCAATTATAGGATTAATGAAACTTTTATATTCTTCGCGAAAAATGCTATCTCTAGGTGGGTAGGTGTTGGTTAAGAGCCCTGAATATGTCGATGTTGAGACCTTGATTTGATTTTGCAACCCTGCTGATGATAACGCGTTGTAAATATTTTCCATTGCTGGACCAACAAATCGTGCATATTTACCACTCTCTCTACCAGGATCAACTTCATTTCCAACGGCTATATATTTGAATTTAACATCGGGAAAATGATTTCTTATATTATCTTGAACCCAACCATTGGCATTTGAAGGATTGGCTAGGGCTTCAAGATCTTGATTTGGGACATCAAGAATTATTTCAATGTTACTTCCGTTGAGGGCATTAAAGACATTTGTATGTGGATAGTAAATTCTCATTTTCTTGATATTATTAGCATTATATAATTTTATGACATCTTGATCTGATGGTAAATTATTGGCAATTTTTCCATAGCATACTCCGATAGGCTGCGCTCCTACATTATGACAAAAAAAAGAACATCAAAATAATAATAACAACAATAATAACGCCTCAATGAAAACAAGTCGATGTCGATAATGTGAATCTTTAGTACTGACCATTATACACATTATAAAACACTAAAAATACTCTAATGGTTGGTTAATAGATCCATAAATAACTTATTTGTAGATGTCATAATTGCGTGAGGTTATTAAACCTATTTTTTTATGTCCTTATCAATAGGGCCTACTGCACCTTCCTAGAACAAAAAATTATATATATGTAGTGTTATTTAATAGGACATTTATAAGTAAATAT